GCCGAATTCTGTCTTGCTAGGTATATTGATTCAACAGGGAAATTATCGTGCCACTCGCCTTTCATAAGATGGTGGGATGTTAGCGAAGACTGCCAGTGTGTGAGCTGACTGACGGCTAGATGTACTCGCAATCCCTGAGATCGGGTAGGCGTGGCATGCTTCGACTTAAAAAGAGTCTATGTTTCTGGTGAGATATTTTCATCGTGACACGATTGCTGTCGTGTCCTGCTTTCCACACAGAACAAGATGACTGTTGTCCCAGACCGGAATATTCCACGAGTAACCAATTCCGTACCATTTTCAAATGCCACACCTACTCTGGCTCAGGGATAAGGAGTGTACCTGTTCTACATGATATCAGTCCTTGAGAAGCTCCGATATTTCTCCTCACCTACCTCTTTCAGTTTTCGAGGTGTGCAACTCTGCTAGCAATTTGTGCTCACAAGCATTCATTTCTATCACATTTTCAGATCGACAACAGCAGCAGCATCAAAGCCGCTAGCTCAGCAAGCTACGGGGATTCCAATTCCTGTGAAGTTCATTCCACCAGGCTTACCATTTCCAGCAGGGACCTATCCATGCTCATCATTGCCGTCAGTGCCTGAAAGCGCTCAGCAGTACCAACAGCAAATGCAACAAGTAACACGTTTTTATTCTCTTGATAATCACTAAATTGATGGAGCTTATAACTTTTTTTCCCACAGAATCCCTCTGCCTGTGCGTCTTCATCGACGTTACCCCCATCGCGTACGTGGAGTGCAGGACCAGCCGGTACTATCCCGTTTCCTGCCATACCACCTTCAACATCGTTGGAGGGTCATTCAGTGTACTACCCGGTAATGATTCTCCTTATATATATATTAGCTTCAAGAGGACGGGAGGAAAATCTGCTTGATTATTCGATCAAGGTTTAGGTACAGCAATTAGTTTCGAGTTCTGCGTCTATGCCTTATGGTCTTTCTTCGCCGGTCTTGGTTTCGCCATATGCAACACTACAGCTGAACATTCCACCGGTAGATCCAAATAATCCAGAAAGCGCTGCAACGCTTACTCGATCTTTAGATCAGGTTGGTTTGCCTTTTCAAAGGTGACTTACATATAGCGATCTAAATACTTACTTTGACTTGTTTAGTATAACCAGCAGCTGATACGCTCTCAACTGGATCAAGCTCAACAGTCAGCGCAGGTTGCCGGGTGCCAAGTGCAGCTTCTCAGGGATCAACTAACGAGTGAAACTACAGCTAGGATAGAGGCTCAAGTGAGTTGACTGACGTACTTCCCGGTGTAGTTCGTTATATCCAATGCGGGGCATCGCACGCCACTCAGTCCATGATGGCTAGTTGACTCAACCCATCGATGGATTACATAAAGGAAATTCTCGCGACCACTCTTCATAGGTAATACAGTGCAAAAATAAACTGTCCTGTGGTTGTTGACTTATTGAAGGGAAGGAACACGAAAAAGCGCGCCCGCAATAAGACCCTCTTTATTTCAATTGATCATGATCACCGGACGAGCGTAAGGTGGTCAAGATCGATTGTGGATGGCAAAAGGCGGCGAGACACTGATAAGAGACGAGAGAGGCCAGAAAATGACGGGCGAGAGAGCTCGGTTACGTGACAACTAAGACTTTTGGTGGGGGTCCTGCCACGATAGGCCAGAGCTCAGAGCAATAAGGGACTTGGTGCCGCGTCCAAAGTGCAGCCGTGAGGTACAAAAAACCACGATGCGAGCCAGGAGATGAGTTTTTTCGAGGGGAAGGGATATCGGGGTGGATGAGCCACTTAGTATGCGTGAAATTGAATGTGGCAAAAAAGGTTTTCCAAGAGTGGCCATGAAAATCGCCTTCCACGGCAAGAGAGGCGCAGAGAAAAGAGAAGTTGGCGGCCATTTAAACGGGATTGAGTTTTAGCTGTCCGCGTAGACGCAGAGCAGCTCAATGGCAAGTCAGCAACGACACGGTCCCCACCGAGGCAGGCATGGCCTATCGGGCGCCAATGGGCCTAAAACATGAGCGCCGTGCGTTCTGCTTGCTGTTTTTCAACTTTTAAAAGCAGCATATCCTCTACTGTTGCCTGCTTGATCATCATGCACGTTTATGAGGTTCTAGCCTTAGTTTATCGCGGAACGTGCCTTTAAGCACGTTGACGACGTTATGAGCCACCTGTGGCTCATGTCTCTTGCACCTCTTCGGTTATTGGCCATTGCATAATTCGGCCATCGATCTCTTCATTTGTTACAAATTACTTTGTGAAAGATTGAGCGTCGCAAAAAGGGCTGGCGAGAAAATGTTACCGCTCATGAGATATTTTTGAAATTTGAATGAGGAATTTTCAACCAATACGCTACGTCAGAAACCTCCAGAACAGTTCTGTTCAACTGATACCGTGACAGTGGGGATTGCTCGGGGCTATTATAACGAACGTGACAACGTACTTGTCGTCAGCGCCATATGGCGTCAATAGGCGAAAAATTTGGCGGGCTCCAGCTGTCTTCGGCGCCCTACATTCTAATGTAATCTTCTACAACCAGGGTTAAAGCATCCCTTCTTACGAATTATGTCATGCCTTTTTCAGTGCTGGCGTCCATGCGGTGGGCCAATCATGACGGCAAAACACTTTTTGGCGAGAATGACGGTCATTTCGGCCTACGAGCTTACGTTGAGTGTAATTTCTGTCGCGTGCAAAAGCTGAGACGTGGGAATAAAAAATCGACACCGCTCGCCCTCCCCTACCTCCCTTTACTGGAGCTTCAAATGGCGTCCAAATCAAACCGTATCATGACCTGCGCACCGGCTAGCCTTGATAGGCAAGGCTTTCAGCAGGTCGTTCATGGGAACTTTCGGGTAGTAGTAATTGTATGAAATGGCTGGAGCTCCTCATAGTGGGCGGGGCTAGTTTGTGGGCTCGCGAAGTTGAGTAAATACTAGAAAATTTTGAATTTACCCAGAAATCCTCAAGATGGTTGCGTGGGCTAACTGGGCGGGGCCCAATGGCCTGGTGTGCCGTTGTTCAAGTGCTTGTCTGTAAGTGCAGATATTTTTAGATGAAAGCGGGGACCTTGGAAAAAACTGATAAACTGCGAAACTTACAACAATGTGATGCGAAACTTACAACAAATTTTTTTGAGAGGTGGGCGCAGTCGTCTGCAGTCGGTATAGCCGTCTATGATTAATTGTGTATGTGTGAAAAGGCAGAAATGCAAGCAAGGCCACAGAAGTTATAGTAATGAAGTTTGAGAAATCGCGATCGCGCTGAAAAGTGGGGGGCGGAGCTTGAAAATGGTGTTAATGGGTAACGGATGATAGCAGTAGCAACTCTGTACATCAGATCGTCAATGATTTTGCGAAATTTGACGGAGCGCCGAGAAAGTGCTCCATGAGGGACACAATGATCTACCGGGGCTCATAGCGCGCGCGTATTGAGAAAACGGTGCTGGGGCGAGATCGTTCCGCCTCTCCTGGCATATAGGATATCAACTACAGGTTATGGCAACACCTTGCTGTTACCGTTACCATGGTTTTCTGAAACAACTGCGCGCAGTTGCGTACCCAAGAGGTCTATAATTTTATCTGCATAGTTGCATTCGTAATTAGGGACCTTTTGTGATTGTCGTGGGGTACTGTCTGTACCAGGGCACATCATCGTTGGGGTTCCCCAACAGTAGGGAGGGGGGAGTTGTAATGAGAGCGGCAGTCATCACTGAGCAGCGTCAGTGGCACCACAAAAAATCAAAATCGAAATGAAAATGACTAAGAGTCTTAATAAAATTTCATAAGCTCGTAAGTAGCAGTAGGCAGTACAACTTGAACAAGTCCGTGGGTGGGCCATGGACTTTTCTGAACCCTATGAATTCTAAACTGTCTGGAGAAGACAGATCTAACCGTATAAAGTTGCACCATCCAGGTTGCACCTTTGCGTAAGCAGCGTCCATACGTGGCGCATACCAACGGGTAAAGTGGGTTTCCAAAGCATCCATTGCCTAGTTCTGTCCCAACAGGATCCGTTTCAGATGCACTCTGGATTGTTCAAATATAATAATACGCCCACTTGAAATGAGACAGGAAACGGGGTTTTCGCGCTGCGAAGATTTCCCCAAATAGATCTTCAACGCATTTATCTCATAAACCCGGGAACCTCAGAAAGATATTCAGTGGGCGTTGAACAGTTGCGTAGGAAGAAATTCGTCATTGTTCAAATTAGAAAAACTCGCATCCAATTTCAGAATTTCAAGACGTATTCTACCTGAAAATATCTCTCTAAAAAAACATCCATTCTCTGAAACAAACTACCTCTATGAACACTTCAGCACTCCTCGGGAAGCTCAAATATATTGCTGGGCGATCGCTTTCTCTTTTTTACCTTCAAGGAGGTTATAGCTCTTTAAAGACAAGCTGCTTTACTCGAGAGGGTCCCGGCAAATGTGCTCCATCTCGGCTGCCACTTGAACTTTTTCCTGCGCGCGCGAGTTTAATCACAACAGTATGTGGGTTGAATAGCAACATCCTGTGCAGTGTCAGTCCATACTACACACACACACACACACACACACACACACACACACACACACACACACACACACACACACACACACACACACACACACACACACACACACACACACACACACACACACACACACACACACACACACACACACACACACACACACACACACACACACACACACACACACACACACACACACACACACACACACACACACACACACACACACACACACACACACACACACACACACACACACACACACACACACACACACACACACACACACACACACACACACACACACACACACACACACACACACACACACACACACACACACACACACACACACACACACTGATCTAGTGGTGCCTTAAAGAGTGTCCGAAAAGTGATGAGGATTTATAACTAGCTTAGTTAATGCAGCAATACTAGAAAATAGCAAATAATCGGGTGGCTACAGGTAATGGGAGGGGCCACGTGGCTCGCGCGAGGATGACTCATCGGCATACTGGAAACGCGAAAATCCAGCAAGCCATATCAGAAATGAAAACAAAAGCATGGTTCACCGGAACTTTTGCTGAGGAATCCCATATGAAGCTAAAAATATGATTTTTTTTATCAGTCAGTAAATAACAGTTGGACGACAAACAATGCGCACAAAATTATTCAGGCGGGATTCTTGCACTTTCCAGTGTTAACTGTTTTAACTTTTGAATATAGCTAGGGCGAAGTTATATTCATGTCCTAAACACGAAATTACTTCTATTTTGCCGAGGAGGGAGCAGAAGAGCAGATGAGTCATCGCTCGCCGCGAGCCGCGTGGCCCCTCCCAACTACGTTAGCACGCAGTAATCGTTATAAATCTCGTCGTTTCCTTAAGACGAGTAGTATTTATACTCCTGGCAGGACGGAATATCGCACCTCTGAGCAGGCGTTGCGCTGCGACTTTCCCGAAGAATGTACCCTTATGAGAAAGCTACAACATACCGACCCGGACGCCCACCGCGCCCGCCCGCCCACAAATGGCCGACCATACCTGATGCTCGTATTGCTTCATTTGCGAAGGCAGCTTTGATACTTTGCGACAGTAGCCGCGATCGTCGGTACGTGGCAGAGCGCGCCCCAACGCTATTATTGGACTGCTCGCTCTGATAAATAAGGAAATCCAACTTGTGAGACCTTTTTTCTCTCAGTAATGGATACTAACTAGGAACTTTCTCTACTTAATAGATCTGGAATATGAGGAAGGGGTTTCACCTTTGTTAAGGTCGGGTTAAGGGCAACTTCATTTAAGGTGAGTTTCTTTTTGTTTCTTTTGTTTTCATTGTTTCATTTTATATGAGTGTCTTGAAATTTCCTATTGGTTAAACTGTTCCAACTTCCAAAACATTTATAGTTTACAAGTCGAGTTCAAACAACGAAAAAAAGAAATAGAATGAAACCCACCTAGGAATCGAAACACTAATCTTTTATGCAACATCAAGGAGGAGGAAACTTATAAATTCATGTATAAGCTCGAAGAATGAAAAAGAAACACTAAGAAACTTACCCTGAAATGAAGCTCCCACGCTTTTTGCTCATTTCTATCCTGAATCAAAAAAAAGAAAATAGAAAAGAAAAGCCATCAAGTTGGGTCCACCTTTCCTTGAGTCAAAACAAGCTTTCGTACCAGAGACAATTGCAATTAAAAGAAAAAAGCAGAAATTAAGCCGATTCTCCCTAAAAGCACTCGGAGCGGTCCAAGTAATAGCGT